CCAGTCTTCACAACGAGGGACCATGTGGAAGACGGCTAGTCCTAGTGCTAGTCCCCCATCGGGAGGACGACCCCGGCTAGTCGCCGACCACACCCACAAAGAACCCTGCACAAAAGACCGCAGGGCGGGGACCTGTTCCTTTTTACCCATCTCCTAGTAGAGGTGCCCGTTTTATGTGGGTTTATGACCGCGCAAGATATAAAGGGTGGCTAAGGGCTCTGCCCGCAAGGCGCCCGCGTCGCAGACGCGGTACCATTGACAAATCTGCAATATACCCCCACACGAACAAATAGCAAAATCCGAATACCGTGCACAAACTGCGTGATGTGCGCCGGGCAAGCCTTCAGCTGGTGGCAAGACATCCGTAAAATTGAAACGTTTTGCCGATTGTCAGGCCTGCTTCTCATACGCCGCTGTATTGAGGGTCAAGAAAAAGAGAGAATCGTCCCGCCGCCGCGACGAGGCCGCCCCCCTCCTCGAAAGGGACGGCTCGGGGCTAGGCCGGGAACACACACACACACAGTACACGGAGGCGCCGGGGTGGATGGTGGGGGCGCGAGAGATTCAGCGGCACTCCGAGAGAGCAGGGTCGAGGCTTGCCCGACGCGCGTGTCGGCTAGCACGTAGTAATTGTGGTGCCGTTACGGCGTGTTGCAACCCCTCGCGGTAAAACACCATCATGTCACCCTTCACGGGTGACAGCAAGCAGTTTTGCCGATTGTCAGGCCTGCTTCTCATACGCCGCTGTATTGAGGGTCAAGAAAAAGAGAGAATCGTCCCGCCGCCGCGACGAGGCCGCCCCCCTCCTCGAAAGCCCCTTTGTAGGCCGTCGCGGTCCGGTGCCCAAGAGATGCCCTTTGAGGACGCGTCGCTCCCAACCCATCCACCTCGCCTCGGGCCGCGCCGCGCGATCTCGGGCGATCTCGCGCAATCCCGGGCGATCTCGGAGCTCCACGCCACGCCTCTCCACCCCACCCCACCTCACCCACCGCCGCGCCGCGCTATCTCGGGCGATCTCGGAGCGTCGCTCGCGCGGCGTCACACCTGCTCAAAAAGGAAGGAGGTTGGAGGCAGGAGGTCACGCCCCATCCAGAGCGCCGTCGTCGCCGGGTTTTTGGCCCCCGGGTCGTCGCCCGACGGTTGCTGCGCGGGGCAGCAGACCATCGGACGGCGCGACGACGCCCCGTCCGGCACGCTCCCCCCTCCACCCGGCTATTGCCGCACGAGCGCCCTCAGCGGCGGAATTTTTCCCTCGCGCTTCCTTGGGCCCCCGGCAACGCCGACGGACTTCCCGTCCCCCCACCTGCGCCGCAATCACCGCCGTGATTGTCGGCGCTGCGCCCCTTGGCGCCTGTGCATGTCCCGCGTGCCCGCCCGCCAAGGCTGGTGCCAAGGCCAAATCAACTGCCAAGGCTGGTGCCAGGGCCAAATCAACTGCCTGGCTGGTGCCAAGGCTCAAAGGCTCTCCTCTCTCTCTCTCCTCCCTCTCTCCCTCCCTCCCTCCCTCCCTCTCACCCCCCCCCCCTCTTCTCTCCTCTCCCCCTCCTCCTCTCTCCTCTCTCCTCCTCTCTCCTCTCCTCTCCTCTCCTCTTCTCATCCTCTCCCCTCTCCTCCTCTCCTCTCTCCCCCCCTCTCTCCCCCAGCAGCTTCCTCGAGGCCGAACAGGTAGATCCTCCCTGATCGCTAAGCTACCACAGGGGACGGCCAGGTAGTGGACGTCGTCCGCCGCCGCCTCCGCCACCCGCGTGCCTCCGCCCCGCTCAGCAAAAAATCAGCATTATATGAGGAGGTGCCAAAGCAGTAGCATCTCCATGAGGTGAGCGTCGTGCGTTTTGCCGCCGCGCGCCGCCGCTGCGCCGACTGGCTCCCGGTTCGAATCGTCCTTCGCGGAGCGAACGCGGCGACACGTGCGCACGTCGCGCGCGTGCGCGCCCGCGACAAGAGGAGAGGAGAGGAGAGGAGAGGAGAGGAGAGGAGAGGAGAGGAGAGGAGAGGAGAGGAGAGGAGAGGAGAGGAGAGGAGAGGAGAGGAGAGGAGAGGAGAGGAGAGGAGAGGAGAGGAGAGGAGAGGAGAGGAGAGGAGAGGAGAGGAGAAGTAGTCGTTGATGTTTTTGCTGCCGCGGCAGAGAAGGAGAAGTAGTCGTTGATGTTTTTGCTGCCGCGGCCGCGCCGCGAGCTCGCGTCTGCTTTGGCGCCGACGACGCGACGCGTCCCGCTGCGTGAGATGGCGCCGCCGCGGAGTCGGCGCCGCGATCAACCGCGCGCCAGCGGCGAGTGGCGCAACGCGGCCACCAAATAAATAAATAAATACAACGCACATCCCAAGCTAGGGCTGGGTCGAGGACAGCCACGCGCGGACCTTTTTTGCGCAGCGGCGCCGCCAGGCGCCCGCCCCGGCGGTGAGCGACGCGTAGCGAGCGAACCGCCGGGGTGGGCGCCTGGCGGCTCCGCGGAGCACCTTTGGCTCGGCGCGGGCGGGGGTGCGAGTAAAAGAAATATACCACCCAAGACTGCTTTCAGACGCTTACGCCAATTTCCCCTCAACGTGCGCAAATCGTGCAACTCGCGGACCCGAGGAGTCTCGAGCTTCAGCTGGCGAATCATGCCGCTCTCGGCACAGAAGCAGCGCGAGCGCCGCGCCGCGCAGCGCGCTGCCGAGGCTCAGGACGCGGCTCGCGGGCAGCGCAACCGCCCGGCGCCGAGCCGGTGCTAGGCCGCCTCCGCTGCGCCTGCTTCCTTGCGCGCCGCTGGACGTCGGCCGAGAAGACCGCTTCCCTCTGGGGACCCGACTCCGCGAAGATCGCGCGCGCGTCGTGAGTGGCGGCGCGCGCGCGATCTCCGTTCCCGGGCACGCCGGTCGCAGTGGCATGGGCTCCCAGGCTCAAAAGCGCTCCCGTCAACAGCGAGCGAGCGCCGCCGCTGCTCCTCCTCCCACCGCCGCTGCTCCTCCTCCCGCCGCCGCTCACCGAGACCCGCCGCCGCCGCCGCCGCCGCCGCCGCCGCCGCCTCGCGCCTCGCCTCCGTCACCGCCGCCCTCCATCTCGCAGCGGCGCGTCCCTCTGATGGCGCGGGCGCCTGGCGGCTCCGCGGAGCACCTTTGGCTCGGCGCGGGCGTGGGTGCGAAAAAAAGAAATTTCCGCACCCGTCCCACCCAGCGCCTGCGCTCGGCGAAGGCCGCGATAAATTAGAGCCCGCGAAATCGCTGCTGCGTCGGGATGCGGGCACCTCGCGAGAAGCCGTTCAAGCCCGGCCATCCTCACCCCCCCAAGCAGCTGCGGCCGCAATTTCAGCCGGTCTCGTGACCGCCCCGCCCCAGCAGGCGCGCGTTTGAGCGAGGCCGTCGTGCAGCGCACCGAGAAGGGGCCGGTCGCGCGCAGCGCCACGCCGCAGGCGTCCGCCGGAGGCCCGCCGGAGGCTGTATGCGGCGGCCACTTCCCCTCGGTCTTTCGCCGCGCTCCGGCCGCTCCTTGGCTCCTGGCCGTCTCTTCCGAGCGGCTTTGCGCGCCCCCAACATTCCCCTGACAGCAGCGCCTCACGGCGTGGGCTGCGAGGTCACTCGGGGTGACCCAGGGGGCGGCGGGGGAGCACTCTTCCGCCGGAGTATCGACGGTCTTCCCGCTACTCGCTCGTAGCCCACCACCTTCCCGGCAGCCCCACCCGCTCGGTTTGTCCTCACTTCTCCCCCCCCCCCCCCTTTCAGGCGAGGCCCTGGCCACCAAACTCGCGCTCGTCGCTCCGGGAACGGGCAGCAGCGCGACGCTTTTCGAGAGCGAGCGGCGGCGGCGGCTCAGCACCAACCTTTGCAACGCAGGGGCTGGCTGCGTGGGCCCCCACCACCGCGCACCGGACTCCGTCGGGCTCGCGTCTCCCTACCTCTCGCGGGAGCTGAGGGGAGCGCAGTGTGTGTCTGCGTCTGTGTCTGTGTCTGTGTCTGTGTCCCTGTCGTGTCGTGTGTGTCGTGTGTAACTCTCGCACTGGCCACTGCTCTATCTTAGCTCTCGCCACAGGCTCTCAGCGCCTCGCCCTCGCCCCTCGGGGCCCTCCCCGCCCGCACGCTCGACACACGACAGAACCCGGACGACGTGCGTTTTTGCTTCTCTACAAAACACGCACACCCACGCCCGCCCCAGTCAGCGGACCCAGCGCCATCGAGAAGAAAGACTTTGGCGAGCCAACGCAGCCGAGAGATAAATTCTCTCCATAAAAGAGAGCCTAGCCGCTATAGCGGTGCAGAGCGCGAACTCGCCGTACTGAGCCTAGCGCAGCGCGAACTCGCCGTCTGAGCCTAGCGCAGCGCGAACTCGCTCTCCTGTTCAATAAATAAATAAATAAATACAACGGACACGCCAAACGAGGGGTGGGGGAGAAGGACAGGGTCCCCACCTGCACGAGCAGGATCTTGTAAGGACGATCAGGGACACCGGGGAACGGGAGCGGGGAGCGCATCGCGACACGGAGGGGGGCTGGGCAGGGTTCACCCTCACGACAGGGTCCCAGGGATTCCTCTCTCGTATAGGACAGGTTGCACCCGGCGGCACGGGGGCAAGCGCGGGCCTCCTACTGGTTGCGCTCTCCTAGTTCTCCTGCTCCTGACAAGGGACAGCGACAGGCTCGCAGCACGGTGGACTCCCTATCCACTGGCGATCTCTCTCGACTAGCGACCTTCCTCCGACTTCTCACCGGCAGTCTCTTCTACCACAGGCAGACTGACACGTGGGTGGCAGTGGCGGTGATAGGAGTCTCCCACTCTGTGGGCCTCGCTAGAAGTGCGACCCCTGCGCGTGTCCTCGCCCTTGATGGGGAAGGGGCTGTGTGTCTGTGCATGTGTACAACATGTGTGTGTGTGTGTGTGTGTGTGTGTGTGTGTGTGTGTGTGTGTGTGTGTGTGCTCGCTCGCTCGCTCTCGCGCGCCGCTTGCGCGATCGCGCGCGCGCGCTGCGCGAGCCGCCCTGCCCGCTGCGCTGCCAGGGATGCGCTGCGGGAAGGGCTCGGCGGCCGTTCCTAGAGCTCCTCGTCGCTCCCCTCGTATAGCGAGGGCTCGTTGGACTCGAGGCGTGGACCGCCGTCGTAGGGGGAGCGTGCGGCTCCGCGGGCGACGCTCGCCCAGTCCTTCTTGTTGCTCTTGACCTCGCCGCCGCCGCCGCCGCGGCCGCGGCCGCCGCGCCCGCGCCGCCCGCGGCTTGTGCCCAGCCTGACCGCGCTCGGCATGCGCTCGTAGATAGTGTCCTTGAAGGCGGAGTGGAGGAGCGCCTCGAAGTTGACGCACGGCGCGTAGCGGCAGCGAGCGGCGGTCTTGCACGGGAGGGCGGTCTGGTTGAAGGCCGGGCAGAAGCCGATCCCGTCGCGCGCCGCCATCGCCTTGGCCTTGCCCGCCGCGCGCGCGACCTCGACCTTGTTGTCGACGATGAGGCTCTCGAAGGTCTTCTTCTTGGCGACGTTCGCCGCTGCGGCGCGCCTCTCCTTGAGCGCCTGCGCGGCGCACTGCGCGTCGTGGATGATGTCGGCGTTGGTCAACCCAAATGCGCGGCAGGAGGGGCAGAGTTTGTTGCCGAGGACCTTGACACACCCGACGTCGAGGCGGAGGGGTCCGCCGACATCGCCGCTCGCGTAGACGTTGGGCAGGACCGGGAGGTTGCAGACGAGGTTCTCGTTCTTCACCTTGAAGAGGATCGAGCCGTCCTTCTCGTCCGACTTCGTGCCCAGGAAGGAGTGGTATCCCTCCTGGATGGAGACCATGTTGCCGAAGTGCTTCTCCAAGAGGGGGGCGAAGTGCTCGATCTGGGCCGCGGTGTCGATGGCGCCGCGCGTGCGTATGGCGAGGAGGCCTTCGGAGTCCGTGGTCGCCTGGGTCTCGCGCGCCTCCGCCTGCTTGCCCCACACGGTGGCGTCGAGAGCGGCGAAGGTGATGGTGATGTTGTCTGGCGCTGGGAGCTGTAGGACGCCACCGCCGGCGTACTGCTCGAGGAAGGCGCGTGCCTCGCTCTCGCCGCTGAAGGCGACGCAGATGGCGCGCGACGTGCCGATGATGGGCACGCTGATCGCGCTTGCCTGCTGCGCCTCGCCGCCTGGTGTCTTCTTGATCAATTGGCGCACCTCGGTGACGAGCGCCGTCTTGTTCTGGATGTCCGGGATGTGCGAGCCGTCGCGCGCCGCGAGCGCGACGTGCAGCAGGCGCTTCGTGCCGCGGTCGGTGCCGGCGGCCGCCGCAGCGGCCATCTGTGCAGCGTCCACCATAATGGTGTCGCCTTCTTTGGCGTCGTCGTCGTTGACGCGCGCGCTCGCGAGCTCGCCGTCGAGGCGGCGCTTCACGCCGAGTCTCTGGCCATCATCGGCCTCTTGCGCGCCGTCGCGGCCGCGCGCCGCGCCCTCGGCAGCGGCAGCGTTGAGCACCGGCGGCGGCAGGCCGGCCGAAGCGAACGCCATTCAAGTGAAGCGCCGTTCAAAGGTCTTCGGGGAGTTCATAATAAATAAATAAATAAATACAACGGACATCCCAAGCTAGGGCTGGGTCGAGGACAGACACGTCCCCACCTTTGCAGGATTTTGCAAAAGCGAGGGGGGAGGGCGCATCGCCGCGCGGAGAGGGCTGGGCACAGGGCACAGGGGATCTCTCTCGCATAGGATACGCACTCGGCGGCACGAGGGCAAGGCTGGGCGTCCTATGTTTGTGCTCCCCCCCGGACCCCTCGCTCTCGGGCACTAACCATCTGACCACTCATCGACGGGGCTTGGCGAGCGGCCGCGCTGCGGGGCAGGGCTGGTGAGAATGGGCTCTGGCCACTCGCCCGTGCGGTTGTAACCCCGCATCTGTCGGACAGAGGCCTCGACCGCCCCTCGCGGCAAGCTCTCGAGCATCTCGAGCAGCTCGCCCGCCGCCATCGCCGCCTCGAACTGCTCCCTCATGCCGAGCGCGCCGCATACCCTGCGGACCGCCTCCTGCTGCACCTCGTCCGGCGTATCGGTTTCATAGCCGGACGAGTCAGCGGAGGCGGCCCGCTTGGCGGGCGGAGAGTCGGGCGACGGCGAGCGCGACTGGCGCGAGGGCCCGCTGCCGCGCGCGGACAGCGCGTTCTTGTCAACGAGACGGGGTCCAGCATCGGCACGGCCCCTGGCACCGCGGCCCTTGCCGCGCTGCTGCTGCCCACGCTTCCTGCCCGGGTTAGGGACAGTGAAGGAGCAGCCGCGCACTCCGCCGCCGCTGGGCGGCGGCGGCACGCGCGCGGCGGCGGCCGGGCCCGCAGGCGCGGCGGGCTGGCCACCCGCGGTGGCACCCTGCGGCTGCGATGCGGCTGCGGCGGCGTACGTCTTGGGCGCCGGCTCCGCGGCTGGCGGCGCGGCGGCAGGGGCGGGCGGCGCCGCAGGGCTCGCGCTCGCAGGCGGCTCCGTGGCCTGCGCCTGCCGCTCGTGGCGCACGGCGCGCTCGAGCTGCGAGTGCGGGTGCAGCTGTACGATGACGTCGCCGCTCTGCGTCGCGGTGAAGGAGACCGAGTACGGCGCTTCGCCGTCGTTCTTCTTCTCCGCGTAGACGAGCGCGTAGTCGCACACCTGTCGTTGGTGGTCAGTGAAGATGGTCTCTGTGCAGCGCTCGGCGGAGCCGACGCGAGAGAAGTGCCGCCTGAACGCCATGCGTTCAGGCGCTGTTTGAACCGAGTTCATAGCTGCGCAACCCTAGCCGAGTCCATTTTTTTTGCTTGTAGTCTCGACGAACCCTGGTTGTCGCGCCCGCTCCTCCTTTTCCTCACGACCCATGTCCGAGGTCCTCTTCAAGTTCAAGTCGGACATCGAATACAGCTCGCACTCGCTCGGCGCCCTCTCCGAGATCTCGGTCGCGGACCTCAAGCAGGCGCGCACGTGCGCGCACGCGCGCGCACGCTTTACGCGCGCGCGCACTCGAGCGCGACCACTTCCGTTGCACTCACCGACGCAGCGCCACCACAAAACTTGCGCGCGCGCCGTGCTCATCGAAGCGTGCTCGCCACCCCCGTAGGCGATCACGGCGGCCAAGGGGGTGCCGGCCGCGTTCGGGCTCGTGCTCACCAACGCAACCACGTCCGAGGGTGCGCCGTTATGTTGAGAAGGGCGGAGAGGGGAGGGCGGCGTATGGGGGCCATGCATTGCTTTTGGGGGCGCGGCGCTGCCGCTGGCATCCTCGCCTGCACAGCCTGGCCGAAGAAGCTCTGTCACCCTGCAGCGTGCGAGGGTGTTTGTGTGTGTGGGGGGGGGGGGGGAGGGTGTGTATGCGGTGACCACACCTTTCATCGCCCCT